ATTTATAATTTGAAACCCTCGAATTCTGCTGTTTTGTGGTTTGAGTTGAAATCCTTCTTTATTTCCTAAAGAACCAAATCTAAGCTCCGAATCGAACATATCCCAACAATGACCGCATACACGCCCGTGTTTAGTGTGATCGTATGATATGCTCTTGTATACTACTCCATCCCCATTTATTTGATTGAAAATTTCATCGCTAAAGTATTATTATTAACATCTCAATTATTATCTTTAAAGACTATATTTTAATTTCTAATTTACCTGAAAATTTCAACATTTCTAAAGATGGCGCATTGTAACTTATGATTGAGCCTTCTATTAAACACATCCATTGTAATGCACCTCACGTCCACATCATCGGAACATTTTTTATGCGTCCCAAGCTCGAACCAATTATCCTGGAACCACGTGTTCCATAAGTCTAACTACTTTCCACGGCAAGTATTCTTTGAGTGATAGTACATGAAGACGATTCGATATGTTTAAATTTATTTTCGCTTGAGCCAAATCTTTCAGCGAAGGTGCGTTGATCAAAGCCATTGTAGTATATGTTAACGTAAAACAGAAGGGGGGATGGGGGTTGAAGGGGCCAATAGGGCACTAACATGGGGTTGAAGAGTCCATTAGGGCACTCACATGGGGTTGAAGGGGGGATGGGGGTTGAAGGGGCCAATAGGGCACTAACATGGGGTTGAAGATGACACCGGAAGTGACAAAATACCGGAAGTGACAAGATACCGGAAGTGGGATGACACCGGAAGTAGGATGACACCGGAAGTGACGTCATGGGGGATTAGGGGGATGGGGATTGATTTCCGGTCCAGAACCGGCGTTTATTATCTACTAATAATAATAACACAATTTAATTCCTCCTCCAGTCAAGCCAATATATTGAACAGTTTTAATAAGCATTTTTACAATAACAAATGTAAAATAACAAAAATGATAAAGGCGCGCCTCACAACGCTTGAATGTGCATGCGCAAGAACTTAGGATTATTCCAGAAATAATAATAAGATAACAAAAATGATGTACGTGAAAAATACATTTAAGGTAAAGAAGGAAAAGGTTTCGGCGGCTCAGTGGCGATGTAAATTAACGAACTATATAATGCAGACTTATTTAATCGAATTTTGCGCGAATTGAACCGATAGCTGCAAGGTGAAATATAAATACTTTAAAGACAATAAACCACTGAACCACCGAAACCTTTTCAATTTAATATTAAAAGCCTAGCAGTTGAACGGAAATACAAACAAAAAAGATGCGTGTTTAAGAAATATATAAAACTTACTTATTTAATTGAATTTAAGCGGATTGAATTGATGGCTGTAAGGTGAAATAGAAACAACAAAATGATGTGTTTAAGAAATACATTTGTTATTATTTAATTTTTAAGAATATATAATTTTTATAATACAATTACATTTATATTAATACAGATGAACATCAGGGTCATCGGTCGGAAAGTTTTTACGTTTCAAGCTTCTTGACGAAATCCAATAAATATACAGGGTGTGTTTTACCAATGTCTTTTGCACCCTTATAAATTATAGACATTTTGCTAAGTTCCATAATTTCTTCGTCGGTAATATCTTCTGCGATGCGTCTTGGTAAATAAATTACGAATCCAGCCTCCAGTTCAAGTACCACGGACGGCCAAGAACACTTTTTAAGCCGTTTCGCACACTTAATCGGGTATGGAGTGTCTGTTTGAAGCGCAGAAATTGATTTTTTCGGTGGGAAATTGCACTGACCCAATTGACTTAGACGAGACATGATTTGTTTCGTAGATTAATAATAATAAAACGTAACCTGTTAGCTTGGAAATAGCTGTCATACTAAATAAATTATTTAGAACATGTAATTATATGTATGAAAATAATGGGGGTGGGGAAATGTGTAATAGAAGTTTCTAGAAGGATGATGCAATTCGCACGTCAGGTGTTATTGTTATCTAAAATGCAAATCAAGCAGTTTTTGTGTAATAGAAGTTTCTAGAAGGATGATGCAATTCGCACGCAGGTGTTATTGTTATCTAAAATGCAAATTAAGCAGTTTTTATTATTAAATCACCAAAGTTATGTAAAGTTCATTGAACCTCACCAACACTTGTTTCAACATGTTTAAACTTGTTTAAATTAAAATAAATATAATTTTTTAACGCAAGTATTCGTCAACATTCTTAATAGTAGTAAGTTTAAACTCATGAAATCATATCAATATATTCCATTAAGTAATAATTTATTTCAGATAAATTTTGCAAGCAAAATTCTCGAATTAATTTTAACTTATCCTTCGAAAATTGAGTGTTCATAATAAAATCAATGTAATCATTAAAATGCAAATTGTCTAATACTTTTAATTTGTATGAAATTAAAAATTCCTTAGATAAAATGTCTTGAACTTCCATCAAGGTTAATATAATCGGAATAAAAAAATTATTTTCAGGGTCCATATCTTCATATGTGATGCACACACAATTCTCAACGTCTGCAGTAACTCTAAGAATTCCATCCGCTAACGGTATAATTTGGTCAGAAAAGTTCATTTTAAAACGAATGATTTTAAATACATTAATCAATTGTTCCCAATCTTCACGTAGAAAAGAGAGTATATGTGATTTCGATTCTACATCATTCCAAGATTTAAAAATCAATTTCACACATGTTATAAAACCTCTCGCCACACTAATACCAACTTTTATGTTAAATCTATCGATCGAATATAAGGTTTCACCAATAAATTTATTTTCTTTCTCTATATCATCACGAAACTTCTTCCATTGTTTATTAATTGATACCCAGTAAGGGCTTTCAGAAATTTCACACCCAGTGTTAACATCCATATTTCATCAAATTTAGTTGTAAACTGAATACATTAATTTTTTAATTATATGATATAACTCACACCCCCACCCTCTCCCAATAAATTTTACAACTATAATAATAATAAAACTACAATCAATTTTTTATTTAAAAATTATTATATTTACGACTTAAATACAAGTAACATTATGTTGATTACATAAAAATTTTTGTAAAATTAATACATTGTTTTGTGAACATACTGCTGGAGAGCCGGTGTGGAACCAACATTGATTGGTGGTTGAATTTAATTTAGCCCCATCCTCTTCCGCAAATTCTAACGCAATATCAGTTAGTATTGAATTGCTGTTACGTGTTTCCAAAAACTGCTTCTTTTAATTTCCCTTAACAAATATTTGATCGCAGGAGGAAATTAAGGTATCAATTATTACATTTAGACCTTCTGATTGATTTATCCACCCATCGCTATATAACAACCTGTGATGGTTGCGTTCCAAATATCTCACTGATCTTTGATCTCGAACGTTTAATTGTTGGAATGGTATACTAGCTTTTAAGTGTAAATGTATTATGTAGTCGGTGGTGATATCCAGAAGAGTAAATTCTTTAACTTCGAATTTAGAATTGATGTAAAACCCCTGAACGTCTACAACCCCGATTTTGAACTTCATATTGTAAACTAACATATGACCTCATGTGTAATTTAATTTATAATTACAGATACTTCCCCACTCAAAGGTTTGTACGTATACATGGATTCTTGAAGTAGTAGCTTTTGTATCAGGCGGAAAATCTTTACTGCTTTGAATTTCAATACGCACCTCACATGATGCGGATGGAGCGGCTTCTTCATCGTTATTCTTAGTGGTATCCACTACGAATAAAGGTCTCTTTTTAAAGCTTGCGAAATCCACAATCGGTTGTTTTCGAGATGTTTCCCAAATATACGGTTGAAATTCAGTATACATTTTATATAGTTCAACATAATTTTCTTTCGCAAACTCCAAATTCATTGACTCGAATGGATAGCAGTATGAGTTTAGATATACTTTAAGATCTATAATATTCAAGTGATCGAAAAGTGTACAATCTGAATTAGGCTGATCCTTTCGATTGGTTTGGAAAGCAACTATAACGTATTGAGGTCTACCTCTGTTAGTTGTTGACGTGACCGACCAAATTTCTTTATTCCCCTTTCTCATTGAAGGTAGCTCATAAAAAGACCACTTCCGAAACGGTACGGGAATGTTTGCGTTTTTATTTAAGTCATCTAACAGCTTCATCTTTATAGATGGACTTGGGTACACATGTTTCGCCAACAATGTAACCGTTTTTACAGTAAACTCTGCGGTGCTAGAATCGGCTTTTGATGTAGATTTATAACAATTGGAGTCAGTACGACTTCTAACAAATCTAAATTTGAAGCGACCTCTCATAACGTGATTATAGTCTCTAAATAATCCGAAAATATGACTTAACGGGATTTGAAACATGAAATCGTTGTTCGCACTAACTGTAGGTAAATTTCCTCCGGGTGGCCATTTTAAACCAGCTATTTCTAAAGATTTGCATTCCACTTCGTTTTGCTGAAGTAGGGTTCGAATCAATGATGTTAAACCGGGTTCACGTACCCGTTCGATTTCAGTACCATTATGCTCAAATGCGATATACTCAAATAGAAATGTCGGTAAGTTGTGTGTCAGTTGGATGGTGTCAGTTGGATCGTTTAATTTTTTTTTGTAATCACCCTCAATACGTATATAACTTTCGAAGAATGAAAATAAAACATCTTCTTGGTTCAGCTCAATGGTGAATATATCGTTGTTTTGAAAAGAATTTGTGGATGGATGATAACTATGCACTTCTTCTCTAGCGATCGAATTATCCACGATGGGTTCGCGGTATATATTTAACTTTTGTGTGGACATGATAACCCAACTGCTCGAGAAAACGTCTGTTGTCCGCTTGCAATGAAGTCTTTCTTTTAACTGATCTAGATGTTCTCTTTCCACCTGAGTTATAATGTTTTCTTTTGATAGATGATCGCTGTTGAGGTTCGGCGGCTTTTAATTGGAACAACAGTCCCATTATGAAGTTCGTTTTAATTCCAACCTAATAACAATTTCTTCTCCACGAAAGTTTACCAATTTACCACGCTGATCGAGTAATCTTAGTGTAATGTTCGATTTTTAATTTCATACAAATTAAAAGTATTGGACAATTTACATTTTAATGATTACATTGATTTTACTATGACCACTAAATTTTCAAAGGATAAGTTAAAATTAATTCGAGAATTTTGCTTGCAAAATTTATCTGAAATAAATTATTACTTAATGGAATATATTGATATGATTTCATGAGGTTAAACTTACTATTAACAATGTTGACGAATACTCGCGTTACAAAATTATATTTATTTTAATTTAAACAAGTTGAAACAAGTGTTGGTGAGATACGATAAACTTTACTTGACCTCAGTGGTTTAATAATAAAAACCGCTTAATTCGCATTTCAGATAACAATAACGCCTGACTTGCGAATTACATCATCCTTTTAAAAACTTCTATTACACAAAAAACTGCTTAATTCGCATTTTAGATAACAATAACAGCTGACGTCCGAATTACATCATCCTTCTAGAAACTTCTATTACACATTTCTCCCACCCCCTATTTTTTCATACATATAAATACATGTTCTAAATAATTTATTTAGTTTGGCAGCTATTTTCCAAGCTAACAGGTTACGTTTTATTATTATTAATCTACGAAATGAACCATGTCTCGTCTAAGTCAATTGGGTCAGTGTAATTTCCCACCGAAAAAATCAATTTCTGAGCTTCAACCAGACACTCCATACCCAATTAAGTGTGCGAAACGGCTTAAAAAGTGTTCTTGGCCGTCCGTGGTACTTGAACTGGAGGCTGGATTCGTAATTTATTTACCAAGACGCATCGCTGAAGATATTACCGACGAAGAAATTATCGAACTTAGCAAAATGTCTATAATTTATAACGGTGTAAAAGACATTGGTAAAACACACCCTGTATATTTATTGGATTTCATCAGGAAGCCTGAAACGTAAAAAACTTCCGACCGATGATCCTGATGTTCATCTCTATGAATATAAATGTAATTGTATAATAATAATAAATGCTTATTAAAACTGTTCAATATATTAGCTTAATCGGAGGAGGAATTAAATTGTGTTATTATTATTTCCGCAATATTTCTAAATTTCCCGCGACGTGACAGAGGGGAGCAATTTCCGGTCCAACTTAAAAATATGACAGCGTCATGCATCGATCATCAGGTAAATTTTAAGCTGTACCATCTATCGATCATTAGGTAAATTTTAAAAAAATGGTCGCATCTTCTTTCTGCTTAGTTCCGCCGCCCGCCGCCGTTAGGCGACGCCACCGTCGACCGATCCTTAAGGATCGTTTCCGGTCCAGAACTCTCATTATGACAGCGCCATCTATCGATCATCAGGTACATTTTAAAAAAATGGCTGCGTGTGAAATTATTCTTTCTGCTTAGTTCCGCTGCCCGCCGCTTTTTTAGTTCCGCCGTCCGCCGCTAGGTGATGCCACCGTCGACCGATCCTTAAGTATCATTTCCGGTCCAGAACTCTCATTACGACAGCGCTATCTATCGATCATCAGGTAAATTTTAAGCTGCGCCATCTATCGATGATCAGGAAAACAGCCGCATCTTCTTTCTACCGCGCCATCTATCGATCATCAGGTAAATTTTACGATCCTTAAGGATCGTTTCCGGTCCAGAACTCTCATTATGACAGCGTCATCTATCGATCATCAAGTAAATTTTAAACTGCGCCATCTATCGATCATCAGGTAAATTTTACGATCCTTAAGGATCGTTTCCGGCCCAGAACTCTCATTACGACAGCGCTATCTATCGATGATCAGGTAAATTTTAAAAAACGGCCGCATCTTCTTTCTGCTTAGTTCCGCCGCGCCATCTATCGATCATCAGGTAAATTTTAAAAAATGGCCGCGTGTAGAAATCTTCTTTCTGCTTAGTTCCGCCGCACGCCGCTTTTTTTAGTTCCGCCACCCACCGCTAGGTGGCGCCACCGTCGACCGATCCTTCGATCCTTAAGGATCGTTTCCGGTCCAGAACTCTCATTATTATAGTACTGATATCGCGTTGTCTGAATTGATTGGTAAATAGATGGGGTTCCTAGGTTCAACATTTATACTGCAACGAGCATCCATCGTGGGAGCCAAGGTGTGCGATAGCTTGCTGTTGTAGTATGACCCTGAAATTATATCACACTCCACTCGAATGGTTGTTACACAAATTATGTTGACTGGGAGATCGGAGTAATGTTTTATACCTGCAGGTAGAGTTCTACCCTCGGAAAACCCCAATACCGAAGCTAACGTATTAGGCTTAGAAAAATCAACCCCAAAATAATAACTCTTTAATTCGCACTTTAAGGTATTATTATTAGCTTTGAGAGTAAAATACTTATTAGGATCGTCAACGGTATCATCTAAACCAACAATTCGTAGAATCTCTTTTTGTAAATATTTCTCGATATCAGTAATTCGTAAGAACCCGTAGGAATTGTGATAACATTTATTGGAGGTCCCACGTCTATAATCGCCTGTGGACCGGAATTTATCGCGTTTTCTTCAGTAAAATAAAATATATTATTAACTCCTTCTTCAATATTAGGTATATTATTGTAGGTGTGGAATCCAATAAGCCCCAAAGAGTAGTTTAATTTAGGATTCAAATCTATTAGTGGATAATAATCTTCAGAAATTTCGCTTTTTCTACCAACCAGTGTGAATGTTTGAGACATTTTTAATCAAATGATGAGTTTTCGGTGTTTAACAGGAAATTTATACATAAATGTCCACAGTTAAATGGGTTTTCTCTTTTTGAAAATTTTTATGATTGTACACAATTCAACTTTTCAAATAATTCGGTAGTTCAAAGGGAGGTTTAAGATCACCATAGCTGTCAAAGTACAACGCTTGATCACTATTCTTTTTATAGGCTACACAATGGGTTCCGTGACCGTTTCGACCATCTAAATTTATAACTGCTGATTCCTTATATTTAGGACCGCTCTTAGGTAATTCATTCCGCATAAATACACCGCGAAAATTTGAAATTTTTAGAGCTTTAACGAATTGAATTATATCGAGATTTGTTAGAGGTCTGTTGGGTAGCCTACCTACAAGTTTTTTTGTTTCTTTTTTTTTACTTAAATATAAACCTAATCCTTTTTTATATTTCTTGATGTAGAGACCATTACCCGATTTACCTATTGCGATAGCTTCCATCTGTTTATGTCGTTCAGCCTGTTCTAATTTCTCTTTAGCCTCCTGTCCACTCTTTATAGCTCGATACACCCCTGCCGTACCGCCGGATAATGCTCCGAGGGCTGAAAGTCCAGCAAATATCGCAGGTAAAATTGGTAGAATGGTATTACGCTTGGAATTTTTATCTTTTTCCTACCACCAACAGTTTTCACAGCTATACGAGCGCACTTTAGCGCTAATTGAGCTGCTTCCCGTAAATTATCAGTACATTTTGGTAGATCTTTAACTATGCGGTTTACAAGCGTGCGTTTAAATGCTAGCGGTTTATTACTTTTATATTTTAAAGCTCCTCCTTTTTCTACTCCTCGAATTATATTTTCTTTTTCACATCGCTTTTTCTTCGAAATTTTTCATAACGTTTGTAACCATCCAAGCTGATGCCTTTTCGCCAAACGTTGAGTCTTTAGCCTTAACTCTTTCCCAAGCGTTTTCCTCCAAACGCTTATCGGCTTCGTGACGTCGATCTAAAGTATTACTATTAGAATACGCTATATCGTGTTCTCTACAAGCACGATAAAGCGGGTTAATACCAGTATCTCCACGTCTAGCACGTGGAGATAATAAGCACGCTTCTTTAATTTTGTACCCGGTCCACAAAATTGATAGCCTGGAACGTGTAACTCGATTGGTAGTTTGTTGATAAGCGTATTAAAACCACCTCCTCCTCTTAACGTTGTAGGTGTTGATATGATGCTGTTGTCACGTATGAACACCACATTGAAATGGCGGTATTTTAAAGATTCCAACAAATATATAGTTGATGTGGGGTGTGTTTCATATTTAGTAGCATAATGCGCGTTGTAAAGCATCCATCGCTTTCGATGTCATCCATCGATCTAGATCGGCTGGTGATGACTCAATCTACATCCGGTCAACGTCATGGTGAGCTCATGCCGAATACTTTGCGGGCGATAGTATGCGGTCCAAGCGGATATGGGAAAACAAATTTAATGTTAAATCTTATTTATAAATGGATTAGATATAAATGGTTTAAAATTTCAAAACATTCACATCTATTCTAAATCTACTATTCTAAAACTAGATCAACCGAAATATGAATTGTTAGAAAAGGTTTTAACAGATTTAACAGTTACCAGATGTGGGACTTTATCGCTTCGCAGATAAGGAATCAGTTGTTGATCCAGCTGAAGCTAAAGCGAACTCAATCTTTGTATGGGTAGACATAAAAACATTGATTCATCGTATCTTACGCAAACTTATACGAGAATACTTAAACATCTAATTAGGGATAACGCTAACGTTTTAATGTTATTCAAACAGGATGAGCTTAATTTGAAACATGTATATGATGAACACGTTAACACCGATATGAAATTTGATGTTTTCAAAGAGGTTTGCATTCGGTGTTGGAATGATGGTGGACCGTACACACCGATGATTATCATGAAGGATTTTAAAATTAAAAATGGTAAATATCGTATGGGAATGGATAAATTTCTCTACCTAGACTAAATTTAATTATTCATACATAGGTTTTCACAATGTAAACATGTCACCATCACATAATCGATCTAATAATAAGGATGTTATGAAATCAATGCG